GAATGGAAAACAAGGAATGTGAGGGAGTGTGTAGACCTGGAGGGGGCACAGAGAGGAGGAGAAACCCTGGGGGAGGGAGGATGGCAGCATAAACCTCACTGTCTGCTCAGACTTGAAAGGCTGGTAAGATGCTGGCTCAGAGGGAGCCCTCGGGGGTGTGAGCAAGGGAGGGACCTGGCCTGACTCGGTCACCACTGACCGGCCACTGGGTGCTGAAGAGATGGAGGTGGGGGGTGGACACAGGGAACATGACGAAGAGCTGGCAGTCACCCAGGCCCCAAGATGGTGGCAGTGAGAAATGGCCACGAGTCTAGAATTTCCCCCTTCTCATTTCATTTTCCATGTAAACATTTGAAGGAAGTATTTTATAAACACAGAATCTGGATGTATTTCAAAGGTAGTGCCAACAGATTGGAAGTGGCATGTGGGATATGAGAAGAAGAATCTCACACCCAGGGTTTGGGCCTGGAGGGACCAAAGATGGAGACGGGGTCCCCAGCGGAGACAGGGAAGGCAGGGGAATGAGGAGTTTGCATATACTGCTGCCTGGGGGGCTCTGCATACCCCCTAATGCTCCTAATTCTGACTCTGGGATGCCAGAGCCCCAGCGTGCCTTGGAGAAGCCCGGGTTCCCTGCTGAGTGCTCCTGAGCCCACCCCAGTTCCAGCATTCCCTGGCCTGTGTGGCAGTCACCTGTTTACGGTGTGTCCCTGGCCTGACAGCTCCTCGGAGTCTGATGCACAGGGCCTGGCTTGGGGTAGGTTCTCACCACAGACGTGCTGGTGGAATGAAAGGCTACTGACCTCTAAGGAGAGCAGGCTGTCCAGGGGGAGATCTGTGCATCCCTTGGCACTCCCACCTCTCAGCACCCAACAGGGCATGCCTCCCATCAAGGGCCCCATGTACTCTGCCTCGTAGACTAGAAAAGACAGCCTGGCTCTCACTTGGGAATCCCTGTCCCCCATGCCTGACTCTCCTCCTCTGCTGAGTCAGTCAGCTAGATACCCTCACAGTCTAGAGCTGGTCTCTGCTGTGGTCAGACCCCCGAGAAGGGGAGGTGCCCACTGGCTTGGGTCCGGCCACCTGGCTCCCTGACTGCCTTTCCACAACCACTTCCCTTACAGATGTAGCCCCTCCTGAGGCTCATGAGCCATAAGCCTCCTGTGGGCAGTATCTCTGCACCTGTGCAGTGGGGGCGGGGCAGGGAGGAAGGGCAGGCCAGTCCCCATGCGACTAGTGAGCTGAGCCAGGCAGCCCCTCTGCTCACCATCCACTCTGGTATCCCTGTCTTCACGTCTGTCTGTCCGTTTCTCAGTCCAGATTCTAATTGCCTCAACTCCTAAAATCTCCTGCGGCTCTCGGCATTCTCCCAAAGACTTTTAGATCTGATTCTGTTTGTTTATTTCCTTTAGATCTCTGAATCCTGCTGCCGAGCACACAGCAGGCGCTCAGTCCGTGTGTGTTAGCTGAGGGAATGATTACAGCTCTCTGTGCGTTCTCCATTATTACCTGGGCCTGCCCTTCTCCTCCCACACCTACAAGGCTAAGGGGCGGGGCCCACATCCACCATGTTTCTGCGGCCTCCCAGTCCAGCACCGTGCTGAGATCCCAGGAGGCTCAATGAAGAAGGCCCAATTATGCCACGTAAGAAACCACACCCAAACTTAGTGACTTAAAACAGCAGCCTTTATTTAGTGCACAGTCTGTGTGCTGGCAGTTTAGCCTGGGCTCAACGGGGCAGGGTTTGGGGCTCAGCCAGGCTCCCTCTGCGGTTAGCTGTGAGCTGATCCTCACTGAGCTCTTTCCTGAGTCTGAGGTTCCAGCTGAGACAACTGAGCGGCCTACTGTGACCCAGGTGGGCTCTCATCCTCCAGCAGGTCAGCCCAAGATTTTGCTTGTGGCGGAGGCAGGTGTCCCGAGTCACAGTGGGACCACCCTGGACCTCTGGAGGCCTGGGCTCGGAACTGACAGAGATCGCTTGAGATCGCTTCCACTACCTTCCACCAACCACAGTCACAAGGCCAGGCCAGATTCAAGGGGTGGGGAAAACAGACTCTCCCCCTGGATAAGAAAAGCTGAGCCTTACACTTGTGTGTATAGTCCCAGGGTTAGGGTTTGGGGTTAGGGTTAGGTTCTCCCTCCTGGAAGAAGTGAAAGGGAGCTGGGAATGACGGCAGCAGTTTCTAGGATCTTCCACGCCAGCTAGGCATTGTCAGCTCAGGAGGCACCCACTCCTGAGAGGAGATCACTTTAATATTTATCAGAACTTAAGTCTGATGGAACCAGAGGCTGCTAAATTTGGGTGGAAACTTTGCACGCCTCTGATTCCCTCTCTCATGCCCTCTTTCTCCATTTCTTTGACATCTTCCTGGCTGTGACATTCATGTGGCAGTGGCAGGGTGCTAGTGTTCCGAAGTGCTCTGTCTCCTGAAACAGGAAAATGGCATCAATGTTTTTCCCACCTGAGGCCAGAACTTGAGCAAAGGGGAACTGCAGTTCCCGTGTGCCCCTCGGGTCCTTGGTGTGGGTGACAAGACCTTGTTTTCTAGAAACTTTGTTTGTTCCCAGCTAGAGCTGGGTGTGGGCCTGGTCCCTAAGTCTGCCTTGCATCCTGATTTGGGTGGGGGTAAAGGGTAAGGTGACCAGATTTTAACATTGGTAAAACGGGACACCAATGATGGGGGGGGGCTATTGGCTGAGCTGTTTATGGTTAGGGACCCTCTAGAGAGGGGGAGGCTACTTGTTTGTTCCAGACAGTTTGGCTCCTTCTGAGCTAATTGTCCTTGCCTAGAAGCGAGGGAAGGAGCCAGTCTCCTTCTGATACCCATTCCAACTGGGTGACCTTGCCCAGGAGGGGAGTAGGGAGTTTACATTAGCCTTTTCATTTCCAAATGAAGTTACATTAACCTCTTCATTACCAAATGGAGTTACATTAACCTCTTCGTTCCCAAATGGAGTTACATTAACCTTTTCAGCAACCGAAAACCATCTATTCCCTTCCCATTCTCCCACCCGTTCCCTAGCATTCTTTCCAAAAATCGGGACTTTTTTAAAATGCTGCAGGACACAAGACAAATTGTTAAAAATCAGGTTGGTCCCGCCAAAAGCGGACATCTGGTCACCTTAGTAAAGAGAGGCAGATTCTGGATCCTCTCCCCCTCCTGGAAACTTCCTGGGATGGGGAGTTGGGAGTATCTCCCTACCTTGCCCCTTTGTTCTATTGCTACCCGAATGTGTCACATTTACATATATGTGCATATGTGTATGTCCCTAACCCTAACCCTAACCCTGGGACTATACACACACACACACCCCTCCATATCTGCAGTCCGCCTCACTCTACAGAATGCAAGCTCCCTCTGGGCAGGGATTTTGCCTTTTTCATTTCTGGTCTCCAGTTCTCAGATGCTGAGTGACTAGGAGTCCCGAGGCCAGGCACTGAAGGCTGAGTTGCCCTCAGGGAGACATTTTGTTCTCCCTCCTGGGGAAGAAGTGGAGGGGACCTGGGAAGGCCTCCTGGCAGGGTGACCCTGGTGCAGATCCAGAAGGGTAAGGGAGCCTCCGCGGCCTCCCTAGCAGCGGGGTTTATGCCGGCCGCAGCGGGGCCGGCCGGAGGACTGCTTGAAGTTCCTCTCGTAGGTGGGCAGGCTCTCTTTGAAGCAGTGCACAGACTGCTTGTCACACTCGCAGGCCTTCAGTCCGCAGAGGCAGCCGACACCAGCACCAAGGGCACATCTGCCTGCAGAGACACACAGGGTCACTGGGGACTCCAGGGCCACCCCTGGCAGGATGGGGGTTCCTTCTAAGGTTGGGGAGAGTGGGGAGCTTGCTGCAAGGGGTTGACGGTGGAGGACAGAAAGGAAAGAAACTGGGAGCCCTTTCTGGATCATGTCTGGGCAGCCCAAAAGTGCTGGAATGAGGAGATGCCCAGAGGGAACAAGAGGGGGAGGGAGGGCCGAGAGGGAGGGCCCAGCTGGCCGGCCCCGTACAGAGGGGCACTGAGTTAGTGCACCTGAGCTAAGGTGGGCCAAGGTGATGGGCCCATTCACCAGAGCTCATCTCATATTTCCCATGGCCTGACTGACATCTCGCTTGGATGTCTCAGGCATCCCAACTCAAGATGTTCAAAGGGACCCTTGGTGCTCCCTCCAAGCCCCTCCCCCACCCACATTCTCAGTAACTGGCACCTTCTCCAAGCCGAGAAATTGGGACCCCACCTGGCTTCTGCCCCTTGTTCCATTCTCTACATCCCGCCTGGCAACAAGTCCCAGTGATCACCTCTGTGTTTAAAATATCCCACCCTCTGTCCTCCTCTCTCCAGCTCCTGGGCCACCACCCAAATCCCTGTCATCAGCAGCTCTTCCTCCTTCACGGTCCCAGAAACAAGCTGGCACTATCTCAAAGGGTAACCTGAATTGTGTCCACTCTCCTGTCAAAGACCCCTGTGGTTTCCCATCACTCAGGGAGGACATGCTGAGTCCTCCTCCGGCCCATGGAGCACCCCGGCCATGATGCAACCCCCACCAGCCTCTCCAGCCTCATCACCCTCATCTCTCCTGCCCTGCCCTGCTCCACACTTGCTGGCCTCCCTCAGGTCACATCTTAACTCTGCTGTGTCCCAGGGCCTGTGCACCTGCTGTTCCCTTCATCTAAAACACTTCTCCTCAGGATCTGCAAGTGGCAGGAACCATCCTGCCCTTCAGGTCTTGGTCAAGTCTCACTTTCTGGGAGAGGCTCTCCCTGAGTCCCTGAGGCACGGCACGGCCCTCTCCAAGCCGCTCCGTCCCACATCCCGTTTACTCATTCATTGCACTTTCCGCAGCCCGTGCTGCTCCTATCTGTCTACTTCTGTCCACCTCCCCTGGACAGGGCAGGAGCTGCGAGGTTGGGACCTTGTCATCCCAGTTCATCACAGAATCCCAAGTATCCAGGACAGATGCTGGCACATAGTAAAACGCTCAAGAAATAGTTAATCAGCAAAGGAAGACGCCTCGATGGGCCTCTGAGATGGAGTGTCTGCCCTTTGGCTGAGTCACCACTAGATGGGGACCTTTAATTTACATACTTGTCAGAGGAGCAGTGCTGTGTACAGGTTTGTACGTGCAGGTGTTCGTGTGCACCGTCTCAGGCACAGCTGCCCTTTTCTGGATAACTCTACCTCAATTCCACTCTCTTTTCAGGGGAGGGAAGAAGGAAGGGAGACCACCAGGCTCCCTGTTCTGTGGCCTTAGGCAAGTTAGCTTTGGTCTCCTCATCTAGAAAATGGTGTTAAAAGACAGCCATACAGGCTTGGCACCTGTGGCTCAAGCGGCTAAGGCGCCAGCCACATACACCTGAGCTGACAGGTTCAAATCCAGCCCAGACCCACCAAACAACAGTGACAGCTGCAACCAAAAAAAATAGCCAGGCGTTGTGGCGGGCACCTGTAGTCCCAGCTACTTGGGAGGCAGAGGCAGGAG